CTGTGTGTGTGTGTCTCTGTGTGTGTGTGTCTGTGTGTGTCTCTGTGTGTGTCAGTCTGTGTCTCTGTGTGTGAGTCTGTATGTGTGTCTGTGTGTCTCTGTGTGTGTGAGTCTGTGTCTGTGTGTGTCTGTGTGTGTGATCCCCATCGTCCTTCCCATCCTGGTGATTGCTTTCCAAGCCTTGTTTGCCGGCTACCCCAAGGCAACACCCACCCCTTTCTTCCTCTTCTCTCTCCCCAGGATGCCCCTTACTTAGATCTGGCCCCCTACATGCCTGACTACTATAAACCTCAGTACCTGTTGGACTTCGAAGACCGTCTTCCCAGCTCAGTCCATGGCTCAGACAGCCTGTCCCTCAACTCCTTCAACTCTGTCACCTCCACCAACCTGGAATGGGATGACAGTGCTATTGCCCCATCTAGTGAGGGTAAGTGGCCCCGGAGCAAAAGGAGCTAGACCTGTGCCCTGAGGTGGCCTCTGGAGCCTCCTAAGCCTGGCTGAGTGGCAATGTCTTTCTGGTGTTTGGGATTTGCAATTGAACCTTTCTAACTTTTCCAGAAGTTTCTAGCCTCATGCCCAGGGTCAGTCTTCTGCGTTGGAAACTCTTGCCCTAGTCAGGGCTGAGCATCAGCTGCCTGGGGAAGCTTGTCCTGCAGCAGGTTCTGTGCAGAGGCTGCACAAGCCCAGGAGAGAGAGAGGCAGGCCATCTGAGGGGGCAGGAATCCTCATGGCTTCTTGGGCAGGGCAGTCCCTCCTAGTGCTCCTCCAGAGATGGCTGACCTGTTCCCCCTGAAACTGACAAGCTGTGGGTGGCCTTTCAGCTCAGCTCAGTTGCTAGAAACTCTGGCTTTCCTCAGACCTTAGGTGTTGCCCCACTTCTGTTTTGAGCTAGTCTTCCTTCTTGTGATCTCATTCACTCACCTCCTGGGAGGTGGACTCAGAGGACTCGCTCAGCTCCCCTGGTCGCCTCCCCTGAGACCTGACCTTCTCATTCCTTGTTTCTGTTTCTGTTTGTGCCATGGGTCATGTGTCCCACTTTCAGACTTGTGTCAGCAAGATTTGCAGTGCAGGAGCTGGCAGTGTAGCTCAGTGGGTGGAGCACTGGTGTAGCGTATGTGAAACCCTAGGCTCAATCCCCGCCACTGTATAAATCCAAGCTTGTGGCCAATGAGATGGTCTAGTGGCTAAAAAGCACCTGCCACACCACCCAAACCTGACGACCTGACTGATCCTGGGAACCCACCATGCAAGGAGAGGACCTGAAGGTTGTCCTTTGGTCTCCACAAACACACACTGTGACACATTCACACCTGTGCCTATGCATCACACATCACACACACACATCACACACACACACACACACACTACACACACACATTACACACACACACACACATTACACACACACACACTACACACACACACACACACACACACATTACACAGACACACACATTACACACACACACACACTACACACACACACACATTACACACACTACACACACATTACACACACACACACACACTACACACACACACACTACACACACACACATTACACACACACACACACACACACACACACACACACACACACACACACTGGGCATGATGGGCACATCTGTAATCCCAGCACTTAAGTAGAGTCAGGAGGATCAGAAGTTCTGGGTCGTTCTCTACTATGTAGCAAGTTCAAGACCAGCCTTGGCTACATGATAAATGTTTCCAAAACTGATAATAATAAAAATACTTACATTGCTTATTTGCTTATAGGACAAGTAAAGCAGCCACTGGGTCTCCTTGGGTGGGCCTCATGGGCTATCCTGGAGGAGGAGTCAGAGGGGCAGGCCTTGAAGAAGCGGCCAGGCCATCCATGGATGGAGGTTATACTGTCTGGTTCTAGCCAGAGGACAGCACCTCATTACCCCGATGGCCACAGGGGGAGGAAAGCCAAGAGACTCAGGTTCTTGTGAGACAGAACAGGCTCTGGGTTAGGAAGGCGTGGCCCTCAGGTCAGCCGAGGTCACAGTGGGCTGTTAGACAACATGTACGAGTTTCTCCCTCTTTCTTCTCCCCATGTCTCCCTCCTTCCACTGCCCGTTTCTAATCTTGAGTTTTGTCCCTCGTTTTTATAGATTATGATTTTGGAGATGTGTTTCCAGCAGTGCCGTCTGTACCCAGCACAGACTGGGAAGGTGGGACAGAGTCCTCTGTGACCCTCTTTTCCTGTTTTGCAACGTTTCCACGCCGGGCTTTCTGCATGTTTCAAAATCAGCTCCTTATTACTTATAACAATGCCCATGGTCATAATGACGCCGCAGCTGGTGTTGGAGTAGGTGGAATTCTGCAGGAGGGGAACTTGGCCTTTAGCTAGCCCAGGAGTCCTGCTCTCAGCGAGCATTCCTGCCCTTCCACGGGGGCCTCAGGAGTCATTAAGCGTCTGTTGCACAGACACCAGGCCACCTCCTGATATCAGTCCCAGTTGTTATACTAATGGTATATGTGTGACCTGGCTGAGTGCAGTGGAAACCTGTGGGAGAGGAGTGATGCCCTGAGATACAGGGATGGTAAACTCCCATCTACCACAGGAGCTTCCAGGGGAAAGATGGAGACTTGGTCCTTTCAGGCTCTCCCTAATGGACTGAGATCCAAGTGAGGAAACTGCCCAGGCAGAGCTGAAACTCCCTACAGGGAGGAGCCAGCAAGATGGTTTGGCAAGTAAAGGAGCTTGCCACCAAGCATAACCACTTGAATTCTTTCCCTGGAAGCCACATGGTGGGAGGAGAGAACTGTCATCCCCAAATGGCCTCTGACCTCTATGTACACAGGATCCTCTTGACCGCTGTGTACACACACAGCATCCTCTGACCTCTGTGTACACACACAGCATCCTCTGACCTCTGTGTACACACACAGCATCCTCTGACCTCTGTGTACACACACAGCATTCTCTGACCTCTGTGTACACACACAGCATCCTCTGACCTCTGTGTACACACACAGCATTCTCTGACCTCTACATACATGCATAAGCATGCCCCACCTCATAAATGAGTCAATGTGAAAGCCTCTGATGAGGAGATTCTCTTAGGAGTTTTAAAGCAGTTAAGCTTTCTACTCTGTCCACTGGGCATCAGCATTTTGGGAGGTATTTTTTTTCTGCCTGTGGCTTGGACAAATTCACACATACAGCATTCTCTGACCTCTGTGTACACACACAGCATCCTCTGACCTCTGACCTCTGATGAGGAGATTCTCTTAGGAGTTTTAAAGCAGTTAAGCTTTCTACTCTGTCCACTGGGCATCAGCATTTTGGGAGGTATTTTTTTTCTGCCTGTGGCTTGGACAAATTCACACAGGGACTCCCAGGTTGCAGGGCTTACTCCAAGTGGGGTTTCAGTTTGATACAGTAAATGCTTGCTCCTAACTATGAGGCTGTCCCAGACTCCCTTCCCAAAGAGCTCCTGCCCCAGGCACCCCTTCTTGCCTGAGGTGGGGTTCCCCCTGAGGGTGACCTGAGCAGTGGACAAGAGCTGATGTTTCTCAGGTGATATGAGTGTGAGAGACATGGGCTCCAACACTGAGAGGTGGATTGTGTCGCTCGGCCAAGAAGGTAGCTCTGAGGAGTATGTTTGAGTGCAGGTAGTGTGAGCCCCGGAATTCCACCTAACATCTATTCTCCTCTCGGCCTCTTCTGAAGCATAATGTCGGCCTTGGTTTTTCCCTCTGGCTCTAACCACTAACCCTTTCCTGACACACTTTTTACAGTCACTTAACAGGCAGGCCATGACCTCTGACCTTCCTCCACAGCCCTGTATATCTTGCCCAGAAACTAATAGCCCAGCTTGCTCAGGCTGGGCTGGGCCTAGGCAGGGTTATAGTCATCGCAACAGTGACTCTCCAAGTTCCTCAGCACTAAGGCACCACTGTCTCCTTGAGCCTGGAGGAAAGCAAGACTTGGGAGGCAACTCCAAACTTGGGGTCCTGTGCAGGACTGGGTAGGGTGATCCATGGTCCTCTCTATAAATTGGTAGGCACCCAGACACCTACCATGTCCTGGGGTTTGTTCACTCACCTCCCATGACCCCTCCCACAAGCAGCTACCAGTGCTGTGGGGACAAAGGAGTTGACATCTCTATCCCTGTGGGAGCCCTCTGTGGGGGTTGGAAGGCATGGCTTCCTTCTGATAGCTAGACTCCAATCAGGAAAACTGAAGAATGTCCCTAGCATGTACCTGACAGAGATGTCATTTCTTTTAACCATTCCTGAGGCAGGAGAATGGCTGATTGTCCCAGGCCAGACAGGGCTACATAGTAAGACACACACACCCAATCTCAAAATGATAAAAATGAGAAAATACAACCACATAAAAAAAAAAAAAACAGAGAAACAAAGTTCTGTGTCAGGCAGCAGGCCCCAGGCCTTCCGGTGTGCTTAGGGAAGCATGTTCTTTCCTCTTCTGCACAGGTAATGGCCAGCAAGATGTGCACATGCCAACTACTAGAGTATGAGTGGCCATTAGCCTTCACCCAGGTAGTCCCACCAGCTGGTCCCAGGCCTCAGCTCTCTGCCTGGGCAGTTCCCATCTGCCACCAGATAAATAGCCCCCTGTACTCCCCAGGATGGTGCTCCCGTGATGATGCTCCCCATATGCCTATTCCAGTGAGTTAGAATGGAGGCCAGTTAGACCAGCTCCTCACTGAAAGGCAACAGCGTCCTCCAGCTCACCCTAAGAGGGGTACCTGGCTCTGTCCCCCGGAGTGCTATTAGGTTTCGGGGAGAAAAGTCAGTATCCTCTGAAGAGCCTGCAAAGTGTCTTGGAGGACACTTTGTTCCTCTTCCGCTCTGCATCTCATCTTGTTGTCCCTGATCTGTCTGTCACTGTCCTGTGTTGCGTTGGGTCCTGTGTTCCCCTCCCCTGCGCTCCCCAGCCCAGCTTCCTTTTCCTTGTCTCTTCTGTTCTTCTTGCTTCTTTTGTTCCCTGTTGTCTGCTGGGGAGGGGCCTAGCAGAGGACTTTGGGTGTCACTTTGCACAGGGAGTGGTGTTGAGGGCCTGCCCAGAATCCCCAATCCTTACGGGAGGAGGTTCTGGGGTTATCCCAGGAGGTATGCACCCTGTCTCCTCTTGGGGTCCCAGCCACCCTACCCAGGGCTTAGGCCTAAAAGCTGTTTCACATTGTGGACCCTTAACTGAACTTGGCTAAGTGTGAGTACTAAGGGCTCCCAGTGACACCGAAGACGGTGTCTCCATCATTTGGCTCCAAAAGCATCAATTGCATGTCCTGTGGGTGGGGACTCTGCTCTTGAACTAGGGTCACCATGGTCAGGCTTCCCTGGGAGGAACTGGCCCACCTTCCCTGAGATAAGGCGTCTTCTGGGGCCCATTTGGTAGGCTGACAGGCTGTCTGTGTCCTGTCTCTTTGTCCTTGCAGATGGAGATCTCACAGATACCATCAGTGGCCCTCGTTCCACTGCCTCAGACCTGACCAGTAGCAAGACATCCACCAAGAGCCCCACCCAGCGCCATAACCCCTTCAATGAGGAGCAGCCCGAGGCTGTGTCATCATCTGACACCACCCCTGTGCACACTACCTCTCAGGAGAAGGAAAAGGCACAGGCCCCAGACCAGTCAGATGGCTGTACGGAGCTTGAAGTCATCAGGTTAGGAGGGAGGGGACCGGGAGAAGGCGGGTGAGCACCTAGCACCCAATGTCCCCCTCTGGGCTCAATGTGTAGTCCAGGGCAGACAGGGCTTCCCCAAGAGAAGGGGACATCACTGAGGCTTAGGAAGCAGCCCCTTCACACCTTGTGCAGTTCTTTGGACCACAGGTTTCAGAAGATCTGCCCCATGTAGGCTGCTGTAACCAAGTGCAAAGACAGATGGCAGAAGCAACAGAAGAGCAGAGTTTTCCTTTTTTTCTTTTGGTCTGAGACAGCTGTCTGTGTGTAGTTCTGGCCATCCTGGAACTTAACTATGTAGACTGGCTTCATTCTCAGATCCTCTGGCCTCTGCCTCGAGTGCTGGAATTAAAGGCATGTGTCACCACGCCTGGCCAGGCCTCTTTTGTTTAAGATGGTTTCTCTATGAAGCTCTGGTTGTCCTGGAACTTCCTGTATAGACCAGGCTCCAGCCTCTGCCTCCTGAGTGCTGGGATTAGAGGCCTGTGCCATCTTACCGGGCCACATCAAGTCTTTACTCTGGTGGTTGAGGTGAGGGTGCCACACCCACAGTTTCTGAGCGGAACCTTTCCATGTTTGCATGTGTCCATCTTGTATGTGTCTCCATGTCAGAACAGAGAAACCTCTCGGGCTGTTTTCATAAGGGCCATGATCCCATTCAGAGGGCTCTGCTGCCGTGACTGTAGCACCTCTCAGAAGCACCCGCTTGACACCATTACCTGTGGATTAGGGTTCCCATGCATGAGTTGAGGTGGACACAGCATCCATCTTGGACTAAGGTCCAAGCCCTGGAGGGACTGGCCTGGGCAGCAGCCATAGCTGGCTGACTTCTGGGCACTTTGTTTAGCCCACCCAGGGCCAGAAACCACCTTCGGGTCAGACCTCTTCCCAGGAGTATTTGTATGTTTGTTTTGTAAGAAAAGGCCTTACTATAGATGTATGAAGCCCAGATTGGACTCACCCTTGCCAGCAGCCTCCTGCTCCAGGCTCCCAGTGCTGGGTAGTCAGCATACATTCTGAGATCCCTCTAGTTTTGGTTCTGGTAGAGCCTGCTTCATGGTTCATGTCTTTGACACATGGACAGAGGGATGCAAAGGAGGAGTCTCTTGGCCAGAGCCATCTCAGCTCTCTGACCTCCCTTGGGCCTGCTCTGAAAACTCTCCACACCAAATGAGGAGAGAAGCCCCATTTCCCACCATACCTGCTGGCCTGAGGCAGGAGCATTGCTTCCTAGGGTCTGGACTTGGAACACACACACACTCTGTCTCTGTCTCTGTCTCTCATTCACTTACTCTCATGTACACACACACACACACACACACACACACACACACCTACACCTACACCTGCTCACACAGACCCTCCTTCAGGTTGGTTAAAGTACATGGGAGCTTGAGAGAGACACTCAGCCCTGAAGTGTCTTAGCTGGGCCCATCCCAGCCATCTTAGAACCAAAGGGTAGGGCCAACGTGATAGACGCAGAAACTCTGAGGTGTTTGTGAGCAAATCATTTATTCCCAATGATACCTAGGGGAAAGGGTCTGTTGTTCACATCCTAAGTGGAGTAGAGAGTTGTTGGTTTAACTAAACGTGGTCTAAGTTTGCTTCCTGGACAGACGTAGCTAGCTCAGTTGGGTTTGTTTTGCTTTGTTAGGTTTTCTGAGACAAAGTCACACTATCACACTATATAGCCCTGGTTGGCCTGGAAATAGATATGCAGACCAGGCTAGCCTTAAATGACCCCCACCTCTGCCTTCGAGTGCTGGGATTATAAATTTGTGCTACCAGGCCTGGCTTAGCTCAGACTTTTTTTTTTTTTTCTCCTCTTTTTGTTTCTGAGATGGGTCTGGCTATGTAGCCTTGCTGGCCTGTGCTCACAATCCTCCTGCCTCTACCTCCCAAGTGCTGGGATCATAAGTGTGTACTAGCAGGCCTGGCTGCTACCTCAGTTCTGTCAGCTAGGATTTGTAGGCCTGTTCGGGAGCTATTTATGCCTCTCTTGGTTGTCCCTCCTACCCATCTCTGCCAGCACCAGAACGCCTTAGGTCTGTCACCTTGTACTGCCCAGGACTACATACACTCTGGACTGTCTCTCTGACCTAGCCTGTACCCCGGGGTTACTAAAGCATTAACCCCTCCCCTGTCACTGCCATCACAGGGTCACCAAGAAGAAGAAAATTGGTAAGAAGAAAAAGACCAAATTGGAGGAGGAAGCAAGCCCACTACAGCCCACCTCCAACTACCAGAAATGTTCTAGGCAGAGGGATGGTGACAGACTTGTGGGCACCCCAAGCCTGGGACGGGACTTGCCAGATCCTGCACTTGCCTCCCCGCAGGAGCAAGGGGGAGGTCCCAGCAGTGAACAGTCTGAGCTCAGCCAGATGGGCCTGCTGATCCCGGAGATGAAGGACACTTCCATGGAGTGCCTGGGACAGCCCCTGAGCAAAGTCATTGACAAGCTCCACGGACAGCTGGACCCAAGCACGTGGTGTTCCCATCCTGATCCTCCGGATCAGTCCTTTCGGACCGGCTCTCCCGGGGAAGCCCCGGAAAAACCACCATTTGGCGACTTTAGTGAGGGGCTTCCAGCCCCAATGGACTTCTACCGCTTTACGGTCGAGAGTCCAAGTACTGTTGCACCAGGTGGCGGCCACCATGACCCTGCAGGGCCTAGCCAACCGCTGCATGTTCCTGGTAGCCCTGCGACTGCTATCCAAGAAGAAGAGGGAGGAAGAGGAGAGAGACCGGCATCTCAGCCCCTAGAGGACATGCAGGGGGAGACTCAGGAACCAGAGCCACAGGAACGGGACACCCAGTTATCACTGGTCAGCCAGGAGCCTGTGCCTGAACCTGTGTCCCAGCCTGAACTTGGAACCCAGGAGGCTCTTTGCAAGCTCAAGCGAGACCAGCCCAGTCCATGCCTGAGCAGCGCTGAGGACTCCGGGGTGGACGAGGGCCAGGGCAGCCCTTCAGAGCTGGCACATCCCTCAGAGTTCAGGTGAGGGCTGTCTACACCTGGTGCAGGATCTGCCAGTCCAGCAGCCTGCTGGTGGGAGATGGAAAGGCGAGTGACCTCCTGCCTGACCCCTGCTCCTCCTGCCCCTTGTCCCTGTCACAGAGTGGACAACAATCACTTACTCCTGCTGATGATCCATGTCTTTAGAGAAAACGAAGAGCAGTTGTTCAAAGTAAGTCCCCGGACTGGGGAGCCATGGAGCAACACAGCAAAGGCGTGTTGGGTCACCCAGA